ACGCCGAGCTCTTTCCATACTTCCCTTGGCATGACTACTACTTCCGCGCCTTGATCTAAGACGCAGGTGAGAGTGCGCCCTTCCAATGTCTTAGCGCGAATACAGCGCAGGGGCGCGAAGTGATCCGCGACGATTTTACCGTCGTCGCTTCGCATGCGCACATCCTCGTATTGCTTGAGCCATTGGTCGGTTGCGGGGTGCCCAGATAATTCGTGCACAGATACTGCGCCTACTGTGACGCGCTTCTTGGTCGTAAGTTCGCGGAAATGTTGGCGAACGTCGGGAGATACAGCTAATAATTCCCTTACTGGGATATTGAGATTGGAATCGAGAAGGCGCTCGACAACGCGTTTGTCGGCCTCCTTGTCTTCAAGCGCGAATGCATAACGATATGATGATGACTGTGCTGGTGCTTGGGTTGGTGTTGATGACGACGATGGTGGCAATACTGAAGATTGAGATGGGGATGACGACGATGACGATACTGGCGCGGACGATGATGGTGTTGACGATGCGGGCGAGGCGCCCTTAGGAGGCGCCTTGGCGCTTGTTGGCGCGCTTATTGGCGCGCTTAACGGCGCTACTTTCGCTACCTCTTTTCCTTTACCTTTGTCAGACGAAGCCTGTATTTCGGGAGAGATTATCTCCTCCTCTACCGTGGCTTGCTTAGATGCAGGTCTCGGACGCGCGCGCGTTTCGCTGGGTATTTCTACACCATCGAAGCGCACACTTTTACCTTTGGCATTGCGCTTCTGGTCGCGCCTTGCAGCTACATAGGCTATCGCTTCTGTCATGAGATCCACCGTCTCGTCGTCCTCTTCGAGTTCCGTTTGCGCGACTGTGTGCACAAACGCAGATGAGCCTACATCAATTACCGCGTCGATCTCGTCGGACGCGCGATAGAATAGTCCCGCTGTCGCGCCTGTACTAGCGGTCGTATCTGGTGTCGCGCGACTTGCGTGATGTCGATCTAGACGATCCTTGAGTAATCCTCGGCCTGGAATCCAATCGCCATTTGGCAAAACAAGCTTGCGCGTCTCTTCGCTAACCTTACATTTACCCGCGTCAATATACCTTTGTTTCTCTGCGCAACGAGGGTAGTAATGTTCGAGACTGCCGCAAAAGGCGCAGTCATTGAACGTAGGCGCGTCGCGCTTATATTCGCGCTTGGTTACTGTGCCTTGCGCGGGTGATTGCGCTGACGTGGTAGCTGTGACTAGGTTAGTGAATGGCGCTGCCGTAGGCGCGCTAGGCGTCGCGCTTGCTGCAGGCGCATTCGCGGGCAGAACGAAATGTCCAGCTGTAAAGACGTCCATGAACGGGTATGGATCCTGCGGGTAGTGATCAGGAATTTTAATCATTAGGCGCGTGCGTATTAGCGCCTGAGTATCCTTGGGAATCCCTTCCATGAATATGCGATCGCGCTTGGCTTTACCAATGCGATCTTCTGCCAATAGCGGTTGCATGACTTTCTTGAACGCGCGAAGGTAGTTGCTTAACTCCTGGTACGAGGGCATCGTCTTGTTCGCGTATTCGTGCGCGATGGCTTGTAGGTCCGAAAGCGCGTAGCGCCTTTTGCCATCCCATCCGGGATACATTACCTTGACTTCTTTCATGAACGCGTTGTAATCGCTTACTTGCGCCTCCGGCATTCCGCCCCATAATTCTCGGTCATCGCGCTCAAGGTAGCGGATGATACCCTTAATGCGATCGAGACCTTGTAGACCTACGTCGTCAGCGAGCTGCTCGTATAGGTCGATAAAGTCGGCGAGGCTGTCGGTTGTGCCATCAAATTTAGGCGCGTCCGTTGTTCCACGGACAGGCATTCTGGTTCTTACTGTGGACATGACGGGCGGTTGGGAAATTGCAGGCGCGGGGATCTTGTGACTGACAAGTGCTTGGCGCGTGTTCGCGAAAGGAAGGTTTGATATAACGGTACCGCCTGGGATTGAAAATGGCGCGCGCGGGGTTTCTAAAGCTTCTTGCTTGATCTTAGGTATTCCCGTTGTAGGAAGCGCGTTCTCGCGCGCAGGAACTACTGGCGCGTTAAGTGGAGTGTCGCTAGAGTCGTCAAGCTCGGTTAGCGCGCTTAGCGCTGACAGGTTAGAAGTATTAAAAGGAGGTTGATTGGGCGTGTGGAGGAATGCTCCGGGAAGTTGGCTCCTTGGGTTATCTATTGCTTCGAAGCCGTCGGATGACTCTTCCTTGACGGATTCTTCAGGCGAGGGCGTGACTGGCGATATCAGTTGTCTAGGCGCGTGCGCGAAGAGCGCTGGATCTGGTCGCGGAGGTTCTGATATATTGCGCGAACGACCGCGCGTGTGTTGAATGAATAAGGGTCCTGGTATAATGGATTCTACCGCTCTGTCGAATGCGGCGATGGCTTCTTCTCTGGCTATGCGGCGACTGTTGGGTCTGAGGCGCCGACCTTCTATCTCAGAAGTGTCCCTCGCGGTGGGCTCCAGTTGTAGATGAGGAATCTTGACTATACGTGAAAACACTTAAAACAAAAGGGGTGCTCAACAGCAAGACCGGGATACGAGACAACGACTCGACCCAAAGGACAACCACTGAGAGAAGTTCCTCGAAATAAAGTGGAGGGAAACTCTGTGAGCTAGGCGGGCGCTAATAGGCGCGAGAAGATAACGCGCGCGAAGGCGCGCGTGCGCGAGGCGAAGGCGCGCGTGATGCGCGCGTGAGCGGGAGGTCCGAGAATGCGCGCGCGCGAAGCGAAGGCGCGCCTAAAGCGTTAGAGGCAAGATCTTACTGAGGAGTGAGTGCAAAGGTGGAGGATTGACAGGAGGATATGATCAGATAACAAGTGGGGAGGTGATCTATTCACTTTCCAGTACACAAAGATAAGGGAAAAGTAAGTACCCGAACTCAAGGAAACCCTTCTGTATTTAAGAATGGAGAAGGCGCGCTTCCGAGCGCGCTCCCGAACCGAGTAACCATATCAACTCTAATTATAACTAAGTTTAAATAAACTTTCCATAAGTAGCGCGGATGTCGGACCGAAGATTTTATTAGTTCAATGGATAAGATAGAAATAACGCACCAGCGAATCAGTAAGGACATGGGACGGATGGACGGACGATAGCGCGAAGACCTATGAGGAGGCGCGCGAACGCGCGCGCGAAGCGCGCATAGCGCGTGCGTAGGTAAGGCGCGCGTAAGTGCGCGCGAGTTCGGATAAGGCGCGCGCGAGTGCGCGCGAGACTGGTCCTTAGGAGTAGAGCTGTAATGTATAGGAATGTATGGTTAAAGGCCGGATATTCGTCATTGAGACGCGCGAGTCTCTACATCGCATCAGTGTTGCCATACTCATGCAGCTGTGCAGCTAATATGTCTGTTGAATTCCAGTATGCGGGCAATTTTTTTTGGTTAGGTCTCTACAACTAATACGGAAGCTCATCTCGGCTCATATCCACAGGCCCACTATTGTTGACAACGAAGAATCTAATGTTTTGCCAGATCATTTTGTTGGCCGGATCACTATTTGCTCGCGAAGTCCGCCAGCATCAGAAGATCTTAGATCTAGATATTTGGTCGCCACTACAAATAGCACAAGGTCGACACCTAATAGTAGTTCCACATTTTTCTCCACATAAAACAGTTGATTCCGATGACAACTTGTATTCCACCATGTATTCCAACTTTGCAACTATTTGACGACTCAGCTGCTCGTATCAATATTTTTGAAATCTCGAACTCACTAGGCATTGAACTGCTGGACGCCTACATAGGTCTGATTGCAAATGATAAGGCCCATTGTAGAAACAACAATACAGAGAGGAACAAATGAAGCTCCTGACTGTATCTAAAAAATGTTGTAGGTTGTGCGTTGCCTAGTCTGCGTTACTTGAGGAGACAAGCGCCTTCGACCCTAAAGGGAAGTGAGTGCAGCGAAGATCTACAGGTACGCGCTGAAGCGAAGCGCGAGAAAGCGCAGGTGCGCGCAAGGCGTGGGAACATGCACGCGTATTAGCGCGAAGCGCAGGAAAGTGCGCGTGCGTATGCGGAAATGATAGAGACTAAGCTTAAGTGATAATATGATGCAAAATAAGAGATATGAGAGTGTGAGATGTAAAGGAATAGAGTTCTATTGCGACTTTCTAGGTAGTAAGTACTAGGTAAAGTGAGAGGTGAAAGTAAAAGTAAAGTAAAGTAAAGTGAAAGGTAGGAAAAGTTGGAAAGTGAGTAGTACTATGTACTGCTGGCGCTTATATAGCGCGCCTAAGCGTGGTCATGCAGAGCCGAAGCGCTACCAAGTAGGTATGTAAAGATATATATGAGTGAGAAACCATGATAAAAATAAAGGTGGAATGATATGCTAATAAAAGAAATGGAAATATACGCACTAGAGGGCTTGGTGGACAGTGGATGGATGCTTCTGGATGGCTGGCGCTATAGGGCGCTCAAGCGCGGGAACGCGCGTGCGCGCATATACATCGCGAAGCGCGGGAAAGCTGCGCCTTGTATAGGGATAGCTGTGGGTAGCGCACAGAGTGACGCTACAAGTTCGTGCTATGCACTCCTTGGTGGAAACTGCCATGTCATGCCATGAGAGGCATGAGTCTCTACACCATCTTGAATAAATATGCATTTGTTTGTATTTGCTGAATTCTTTTGTACAGCTCCGAGCCGACTTACGGGTTATGTCATTTCTACTCAAAGATCGGGTATTTGCAGGTGATCTTTGGGATATTGTTGGAGAGTGCATGATAGAGGTGCAGCAAGAAGTAACACTATGACAGCACCAGAACACTTGCGTTGGTGGATTAAGGCATATCGTGTTAGAGCACCTTCTCATGGAAGAGCGAAAGAAATGAAGTCAGATGGAGGTATCTTTGTATAGTCAGGCGATCAAATACTTGCACCAGAAGTGTGAGCTCCTTCAAATTTTGATGCCTGAAACAGTAACCTGAACACACCCTGTAATGCTACAATGCAGATCTCTGCACGCCATCTACAGTTAAGCGTGACATCGGGTCCCCTCCATGCCCTCGAGAGATAACCTTTCCTGGTCACCTCTAGCCTGTTCAACGGCTACGCGAGAGAAATGCGAAGCTTGGTTACAGAGACGGGACCCTCATGCTGGACCTCTGATGGAGACTTGCTCTTCTTTGGATACCTTCAACACTTTAGCGCCTGAATTCGCTGCTGCGCACAGAATCAAATGGATGTCTGTCATTTCAAAAGTTGGTGTATTTAATTATTTCCATCGCCTGCTCTCACTTTCTTTGAAGTGCATCGGTCCTTCATCACCCCTGTTAAAGACATGGGCCACCATTGACGTCCAAGAAGCCTTCTATAGTGCATTCTGTGCGGAGCAAGCCTGCCAGGCAAGCTTGCTGCCACAGCCTTATATGGTCAAGGACGCATTCGCAGCGCAACATCGGCTTGGAGTTGATTATCTTGCAGTCAAAAATGAACCGTGCTCAAGCTGAAATAAGCTTGTACACAGTGGCCATTGGAATCGCCCGTGAACGCGACTTTCCTGACAAGACTGGTAGGTGTGAAGCACTTTGTTCTCTCTCCAAATACTGATCACCTTTTGCAGGCAAACCATTGTTCTCCGATCGATTTATTCCACCTCCTCTACCAGACGAACTATGTTACTATGACCATGACATTGACGATGAGGCGAACGATTGCAATGACTTCAAATTCTAACTGCATCCTCAATTGTCTAACAGTTTCAGTCTTCATCTATATTTAACACTGACATACGGACAGTTGCTAGCACCAATTATGTAGATCAGTGTATGTATTACAGTAAGTACGCTGTTTTAACATTGTTACACATGCGAGACACAGCGGACACTGCATCTCACCTCTCAATGGAATTCCCATGGCAATCAATTTCTCACACCTAAATATTCTGCACATACTACTACCAGTGGCGCACGGCAACAGGGTAGCACTCCATCCAGCTCATTCCCTGCTTGACCTCATGAAATGTCATGTAAAAAGAGTCCTGACACTGACATCTTGCAATTCTATGAGGTGAATTATCTACATGGGTGTCTTTAATATATCGGCTTTTACTAACGAGCAGACTTTGCTCAGCGCACAATTTGAGTCACCTCAACAATACTACGATGTTTCTTCTGGGTTTAAGCATCTTTGTCATCGCCTGGACAGGATCATTAGTTTGTCAGATGAGCACATGTCGGACTTACTTTGGATAGGAGAAGGAGTCTCCCATGTAATCTGGTGGGGAGAACAAGTATCAATTCCAGGTGGTGCGTATTCCTCCAAGACTGTTGCCCGATAGTTTTCCTCCAACCAACGAAGACGGTATTTTTGACATAGTTCTTGAAGCTTTGAGCAACCTAACTCTGCAAGTCGTAGCCATTCTTTGAGCACGTCTATGAATTCTGCTTGGCCTGCTTCATGGTTTCTCACTGGCAGGAGGAGGGTCTCGGCCTGTAAATTGTCATCAACATCTACACCGCTAGTCTGTGGTGAGCTTTCGGAACGACTAGTCATTAATGACATTAACAAACCTCAGTTTGACTTGATGATTAGTGTAATTTCCTTCCCTTCTATCAGTGTTGCCCGCAATCCCGATCCTAATGAAAGGCGGGTATTCAAGTTAGCAAGTGGCGCCGCAATGTAAGTCATCTGGTTTACTGTATGTTCAAATTAATGTTATGTTCTTGCAGCTCGAAGGTATTGCATGAGGATTGCGGCATATTGGTAAATGTGCTCTCTAGTGTCGAACTGCCGCAAGAACATGTGCACCAGGCTCTTATCCTCCCTTTTTCCAAAGATCTTGAATACAAGTTCACGGCACCCCAATAAATCAAAACATTTGGTGCAATTAGCTGCTGGGCCGATGCCCCAGTTTCTGTGCTTGGCCGCCACCACATTGACACTGATCGCCCCTGGCACAATTTCCTGGCACAATTTCCTGGCACAATTTCCTGGCACAATTCCCTGGCACAATTCCCTGGCACAATCTGCCATTCACACACCGGCGCTAATAGTCGCCAACAGGTTCAACCCTTTGCTATGAATAAAAGCCAGGTTATAAATATGCGGAGTCCCATCTTTTCCCTCTGCAACACTCATGTCCATCGAGGATGTCACTTCCAGTGTTCTGAGCAAATGTCCTTCATCAGCCCTTCAAATGGCACCGCAAAAAAAAGTGTGAGCTGTCTCCAACATTTGCCACTGTTTTTGCAGATTCATCCTGTCAATTAGCTCCACATCTGATCCATTGGTCTCCCACGGACGACACTTTGGTTGAACAGTATTTGCGCTGTGTAATTACCCTTCTCTACTTACCAACGGTATCTTGAGATTAGAACAGATGGAAGACACTCCACTGGAGGACTTCTCCGCTGAGTATTATAAGATGTATCTGTTTATTCTCTCGCCAATTGACGTATTCTGCAGGGAGCGACAAGAACACCATGTCTTTGAGCAGCTCTTAGAATCTTATCCCGGTCTTCTGGAACAGCTGAAAAATGGGTCTGATGAAGACATCCTTCTCGTTGGGGAACTAGTATATCATTCTGTTTATGGTCAGAGTCCTTACTTACGACTTATAGATTGGCAAGGGAGCCGCAGGCACGCGAGGTGATGATACGAAAACGCTCAAGTCTGCAGTCCTTGATTGGATTGTCCCGCAAGGAGAAGCTATCCAGCCTCCTTTGCACAGAAACTCGAAGATTGACCGTGGATTCAATCATGACCTTACTGGATTCCTACTTTGTCCTGTTGGATTAGATTGGAACGACTCACAGTATGTTTTTGCTTGATGGAATATGCAGTCCTGACGGCTCATTTTGCCCTTCTTTGTAAATAGGACTAAAGAAAATCTACGAAGTGGCAAACTATGGGTCTGCGGAGATCAATGGCCTATTTTTGTGTATGCCCATCATACCTACAACTCTGAAGATCCGTGGAACGGTGAAGGTACAACAATTCAGATGGTGAGTCTGAACAATGTGTTGGGTCTTGCAGAACCTAGCTGCTATTCGACCCTAAAGGGTTTCTGGACTAGGCTTAAGGCTCAGAGGAGAGGAAATATCATAAAAACTACTGAGGACTCTGACTCATACTGGTAACTGGTGAAAAGATTGCTTGCTTATGTAAGCTACAAAAGTGCCAACATAAGGTAAGGTAAAAACAGTCTCTACAAGCCCAGCCAGAAATGAATCCCTACAACGGTCTCCTTAGGAGCTGTTTACTGGTATGCGTATGTGATGTCCCATTATTCAAGGTTCCTCTACTAAACTGTACACCATCAGGCTTATAAGCATGTGTTCACGTCTCCAAGCTCTGTCGAGAAGGAGCCGAAAGCCACGCAATCTGGCAATGCTCGCCTCCATGGCATGAACTCGGTCACCACCGCTTCTATCGCATATATTGCGACTCAGGTTTGTTGACTGTCATGCGTTTGAACGCAAGCGATTTTGATATTGACTGCAGGTCTGATTCGCCTTGAGCTCCTCCTCTGTATTCTCGAGAACCGACACGACCACGGATTCAGAGACATTTTACCATAGCCTTCTCGACCTCCTTGGAGACCCTGATGAATCTAAGGAAGTCGACGAATTATTAATGTGGTGGAATTGGTATGTTATCACCCTCAGATCATGTTGCAGATACTCATATGTTGCCATCACTAGCCAGGTATTTCCGACATCTTCTGCTGCCAAACGACACATCAGCGCCAATAGTGCACTATCGAAGATTCGTCAAAAACACCTTGCTTTGAAACAAATTTCAGGTTTGAACACAGAGTCTTTGTAGCTTTCATTCAAGTATATCTCGTATAGTCAATATAATTACAATTTAATGTTGGCCTGTTTTTGGCTTTTGCAATATGTTCGCCGCTGGATATCCTTCTAAGACAAGCCATGCACGAGATGATATCACTGGCTAAAATATTGCTGGAGGCAGCCTTGAAACAACAAGTGCGATGCTTCTGCTATGTTGGTTGCCATACTGTTCATATATGCAACATTGATCCACAGGAGCGAGCCTTGCAAGTCAAGAACTGCAACTAATATATTGCTTGCTCTAGATGAATAAAAGCAATGAGCTGATTTTGTCATGCAGCGATCATACCTTGGCCAGAAGGGACCATGTTATCAATCATCAGCGCCCTGGCACCTGTCAACAGCCGTTTACAATGCAGTCCGATATCTGGGAGTCCTATCTCGGTACGGCGTAATGGGAGAGTTTATCGAGACCTAACATATTGCTTGCTCTATATTAATAAAAGCAATGAGCTGATTTTGTTATGCGGCGATCATACCTTGGCCAGAAGGGACCATGTTATCAATGATCAGCGCCCTGGCACCTTTCAACAGCCGTCTACAATGCAGTCTGATATTTGGGAGTCCTATCTCGGTATGGCGTTACGGGAGAGTTTATCGAGACCTAACATATTGCTTACTCTAGATGAATAAAAGCAATGAGCTGGGAGTCCTATCTAGGTACGGCGTTGCGGGAGAGTTTATTGAGACCAGATTGATTGCTTTGCCTTACATGTCATGACCATACTCCAGCAATCAGGTGATGGCAGACACCACCCTATGTTTATTACAGTGGGAAGTAAATGCCCCGCAGTATTGGACTAAAGGTAGCTCTAATCTCATTCAGTCTGATGTTGAAAGGTTCCAACATCTGGAGAGAGTCTGTAGACAATTAAATAGCCCATCAATTTTGCTAATGGTGGCAAGATCTCATCAGGGTTGGCAGGCATGGTAGTAGACTATTTCACATCACCTGAATTGTGCACTACCAGCACTAAGGGAGCTCTGGTGGAGGATGCAACCACAAGCTTGGCTTGCAAAAGACAATCACATTTTTATAGAACGGTATTGTCTTGTAGAAAGTCCGCACCCTTGGGCTGTTGGCGGTGTTGATCCAATGCAGTCCGGGTATATAAAGTGTTATCTAACACTGGCGTCTGTTCAGAAATTGTGAATGAAGTAAAAATTATAATCCCACAACCAGGGCAGAGCCAAATTGTAGCGCATTGTCATCAGTCCTCACCTGGGTGACAGTGGTCACTCTGAACAAATTTGCTGTAGCTGGTGAGTGCTACAATATGTGCCACCATGACCCCAGCTGGCAGGCAATTGCAACTAGACTGTCAAAGAGGTGTATTTGGCGGATTCCACAAAGTAAGTCCGGGTATACAAAGCTTTCTTAAGTGGTGTACAATTCTGATATATATTATACGAATTTTGGATCAGATATAGCTTTGTAAGAGTTTATTGATTTCGGGTTGGTTACCTGATGCCCCAGTGACCTACAACCTCTTCAAGTGCAACAACAACACTCCCACCTAGTACACTGACCCATAAATGTATATTTCACTACACCTCACTGGCAACATCAGCAAACCCCAGCATGCCAACTCACAGATTAGACACGCCAACAGACGAGGCCTATTCCATGAGTCCTGTCCAAGCATAATCTCAACAACTCCTTGAGTCCCCCAGAAGACAACTGTGCAGTGTCTGCAAAACACCCTATCGTGTTCTCAACGCACCAGAACTGGCAGATGATTTTTACCTCAACCTTGTGAATTGGAGCAATATGAATGTACTTGGTGTTGGACTAGGGAGCTGTGTATACCTATGGACAGCACATAACTCACCAGTCTCAAACGATACAGTTGGCTCCGTTTCATGGGTCCAAAAGGTCCGTATATATCCCCTTTTAATTAATTACTTGTGATTTGATGCTTTGATGTATGTTGCTTGCTATCGGAACTCTCTCAGGTAGAATGCACATCTATGATGCTAATACTCCAACTACAACATGTATATAACAATGCCCACATTCAATGCATCAGTGCTCTCGTCAGGATCGCAAGACCGTATGGTGCACCATCGAGATGTCCGAGAAGCCTCTCACCATCCGTTCAAGTGGTGTGCAGGGCAGAGACATAATTATTCACTATATTTAGGGAGTGTTTGTACACTTTATTTTATAGTAACTTTGTTGCTACTCATCTGGTATTCTACTTGTTCACCATGCAAGTGAGTGTTTGCATGTGATCACTGGTAGGAGGGAGTTCAACTGCAAGATCGTGTTCCCTGCCTAGTTTTACATAAGTAGGCATGTAAGACGAGGCTGAATTTGTTGCCCGATGTTCAAAAAGACATATGTACAATACTATAAGATTTCTAGAGTCCTGATGTCCATCATGCTGTGCACAGAGGTCATGTCTTTGACTTGAGCAATGATATCACAATCCGATGTGATCCTCTTGTATCCTCCACTGCGCTGCTGGGCCAGCAAAAAAGCACCAAACGACTGTCCGAGGTGAGCGATCAATCGCAATGCCTGTGAGTAAGGTTCCGAATCAGTCAATTCCTCTTTTCCAAGCAAGCCATCAAGAGACCCAGGCTCAGACCAACCTCCCAAGCTTTGTGCATCATCTGAGTCTGTGAAGTTGGGCAGCTCGAGTAGGCGACGATCCCAAGGATGGACAAGTAAGAATGTTTGTCAAGTTGGTCTGAGCAGCAAAAATTGGGCAAGCCTCTCTTCAGTGGTGATCAGCAGATCATCAAACCCATCTGCTTTGACTCCGTATGAGAACAATGTCCCTTCGGGTGCACCAGGCCTCTGCCTGACTTCAGTAACAGGAAATACGATGCAAGGCAGACGCAGCCTGCAATTCGCGAAGCCAGGATAGCTCATGTTGTTGAGCTGGTTGTAAAGTTTCAAAGCTTTATCCATAGCTACAGTGTGTCGTAGCAAAGAGATTGCTGTCTGGATCTCATCTTCAGACAAATATGGTAGGACACATGGCGGATGTCATATCCTGTATTCTGGATCTACATCCGATAATATTCCCACGCCTCATCCGGACCTTCGGATGTCCTATCCATGTCTCCAGTACCCATCCAGATCCCTTATCCTTCACAGCTAGCCTGCATCATTCATCCTTGTCCCGTTGCCCTAATGCCACATCCTATATATCCACGCATCTCATCCGGACCATATCCGATCCGGTCCGATCCGATGTATAGATCTGTTTCCTATCCGATATACGATAAGCTTTGTAATTCATTTCCTGTGCATATAATGTTAACACAGCCTATCTGATATTCCTTGTTACCGGTACCTCGGTTATATCTATTACCGGTATGCTTACTGATCTGTTAACCTATGTTCATTTCCGACTCGTGTTTGTCAACCTTTGCATATGCTTCATACATAGCCTCGGACTCTGCTTATTGATCCTTCCATTATTTCTCTTAGTATATAAACTTGTGTATATGTCTTGTAGTACCTCAGTCTGAATATCATATTAGTCCTCGCACTAGTCTTCACTCTAAGTCCTCATATCAGTTCTAGTCTTCCAACTTAGTTGTTATCCATCTCAGGCCTAGGGAGTTTCTCCCTAGGCCGGAGCTCTGCTTATCTGATACTCTGCTCATCCGCTCATCCGATCCTCCGTAGTTTCCGGAAGTTCATCCGGATCTTTCCCACGGTCCTCCGGACCTATTCTGCTTTGGACTTTGTCCTTGCAGCCTTTCCTCTGTTTACTTCTACTCAGGACAAGTCCTGAGTAGCCATTATACATATCTGTATCAGGACAAAATCTCATCGTAATTTCCGGAAGTTCCTCCGGAACTTTCCCGCACTCATCCGGAAGTTACTTGCACCCATCCGGAAAGTCCTTCCGAAGTTTCCCATGCCTTCGGATGTCCTTTGGATGTCTTCGGACGTCTTCGGACTTTCCTCGGACACCAATCTGAAATTAAGGGCACATACCCGGGTAAGGGGCGCAGCGCACGAGCTGAAGCCAAGCCCCTCAGAATCAGTCCTACCCTTTGTGCATGGTCTTAACAGCGGAGCTGCATATGCGGTGATGTCAGCTGGAAGACAACTATTGAACTTGGATGGTTGTCTGACCCAGTCGAGGACAGTGATGTCCCATGAATGAGCCACGATCTCTTGCAGGAGTCGCCCGAGTGCATTTTGCGCATTTTTGCCATAAAGGATGGGTAACTGAATGCCAAAGATACCAAACAATGAGTATGCAATGTCTTCTGGCACAGTGGTGACACACGTAGACGCCCATTGTAACTTCTCTCGGACATCTTTCATACCTGGTTGAAAGGCAACAAGAGCACATGCATCTATGCCTGTCGCATCCTCCAATTCATGCATGATCTCCACAGACTCCTTGTGGTTGAAAGAGATGTCATCGAGGTATGGAGTCCAATCCTGTTGGTAGAAGTGAATGACTTTAGGAGCGAGGAACTCCGGAACAGTCCATCCTTGGGTGTTCCAGACGCTCTTAGCCAGTGCCCCAGACTTGGACAAAGATGGGACATCTGAGAGGTAGACAACCATGAACGCAGAATTGTGATACCAGGAAAATGCGGAGTTGAGTGATTTTTGGAGCTCAACATGGTTTTTCTGATCAATGCAACACATGTCAACCCAGGCCCAGTGAAATCCCGCTTGAAGGACAACTTTGCAAAATGACTGCAACTTCATGAGACCGGCTGCATTCAACTTGTACACGATCTTGTCTTGGATGTCATGCAGCAGCGGCTCATTCTCACCCCATTGATGGGATAACATGACATAACGGAAGTACATCGCCACCGTGTCTGTGATGCACCCCATTGGGATATCTGCATGCTTCATAATCAATAATCGAAGCTGCTTGTACTCTGTGGTCATTTTGAAGGCATTTATTTGTGCCTCTTGATCACATAAGATCCCGGTAGTTGTGTCAAGCATTTGAAGTGGTGTGGGGTCAAGCTGAATGTTTATGACCTTTCGAATGGCACACTCTGCTTCAGAGGGACTGACAGACTTGTCGCGCAGTTCTGAGGAAAGAGTTGAGCATTGGAATATGTGTGTTACATAGAACTTACTTCATATTTGCATGCTGTGAGTACTGGCCAATTTTGCAAGCATCATCTTCAAGGCCTCGATTGCTTCAATATAGTGTTGTGTGCTGTGAAGCGCCATGTGCTTCAACTGATATCCAACATGAGAGGAAGGCTCGAGCTCAATGACCTATGTATCGCCAAAGTGAGTATTAATTAACACACTACCTGAGCAGATGTCATTGTACCTTTTGCACATCAAGAAGGGCTTCCTCCCATAGCAATTTATCCAATTTTGCCTTGCTGCAGTTTGCAAATATGGTGCTGCTCATAGAATTCAGGGTTAAAGAGGGCTGCATGATGATGGAATTTGTGTTTAGTGCGAGAATCTGTGTCACGAAGCACGCTCGATTTGTGTTATCGGAACCAAGCACAGAAACACACCTTTGAAATAGAAACTTGGGCCTTGGTAGTGAGATGAGATGGCAAAAGGGCAGGAAATCAACAGAAACATGCCAATGATGCCAGTTTCTCTGGCAAAGCATCCTCGGGCACTGCCCAATCTGATATCATCTTATCCTGACCTCCACTCAGAATGTGCTCGCCATCTATGTAGATACTAGTGGTATCCAGTGTCCACAAGGTTAAGTGCTGGAAGGAGATGATGGTTCGATCTGAGAGCCGCTGAAGATAAGTATGATTGTTGGAAGATCCAGAAACGATGAGTGTGCCCACAAGGGGATGTCTGACTTGTTTCCAAGGGACTGTATCCAACTCCCGTATTGTGAGTGTCAGGGAGCAGCTGTTTGATGATGCACCGCATTTTCTTGAATAAGTGAAAGAGGTCAATGCATTCCACATTTGGATAAGAACTATATGATCAATGGAAAGAGGGGGTGGAAGAATTGAATGAAAGGTACTACTAGGTGAATGAGGTGATGTACCTCTCTCCCTTATATATGAATTGCCTTGTCATGGAGCACTCGAGAAAGGTGGGATATTGCTCATTGCTGTAGTACTGTTGAGTATTGCTTTATGACGTAGAATCTAGAACACCCGCCCAACTAGTTAGTATTAAGACTGCCAACTCCATACAAGTGTGGGGTTTGGTAGAATGCAGTCAACATCACCGCAGCTTCGACCTCGAGAATAGGTGACCAGTGAATGTCCTAATTATAACTGATGGTCTAGATCAATCCTGTTTTTTGTGTCAGCCTTTCAAAGTATTTGGCCGAGTACAGCACTCCACATGCCTGTACAACTCCAATCGTCTCAGTCCAGGCTATCTATCATACTGACTCCAACCATCCAAGCCCACACAAAACCAGTATGCCACTTTCAGTGCTCTCTAATCAGTTCAATCATGGGAGCAAAATGTGATTGTGCCGCATACTTGAAGATGATGAGGGCGAGCTCAGCTGGAAGGTTAAATCTAAATGAAATGGAAGGTTCCATGCTTGACATGCGAGTAAGACACGAAGTTGGTTTGACTCATTTTACACAGTACTTGATGATAGCAGGTGGATAGTTATTATAGCCTAGTATAAGCGGCAGCCACCTCAGTCGGATACTGACGCGCACCTTCAGTTGAGTTGATTATGTAATTTTACCTGAATTGATTGCTTCCACGCTCACGTGCACAATGAAATAAAAAAATTCTTGTTGGGCCTAATGCACAGAGACCTAAGGTATACACTACAGTAGATGCAATACGAATATGTGTTGCTGTTGTGTTGTTATTTAGCAATAAGTGAAGATTGTGCATTTCCCATGGAACGACAGTAGCATATGTTGATATTCAACATCGTCATTGCTCTCGTTGTATTTCCTTTTACGTTCGTCATCTTCCTCTTTTGTCTTTGATATTCCGGACTCTATACAGTACTTTATAAACCTCTTCGTTTTCATCTCTCATACCTCAGCGGTTCTTCTACCACACGCTGAGGTATGTATCTTAATGTTTGCACGCCGACTTTCTCTCATTGTATTCTGTCCGTAGATTGTCTTCTAGGTATTATGAATAGTAGCGGTTCTTCTACCACACGCTGAGATTGTCTTCTAGTTCAACATCCAACAGGTTATGAGCCCTGGCTCTTACAGAGCCCTCAACTGAACCTACTAGACAAAGCTTCTGTACTTGCTCGCCGCTCACTCATTCACTTCTCGCTTCATCACTCCTCATGACGGTATCGTCATGGGAAAATTTGATCATATCCCCGAACTGCTAGGATCGGAGAATTACGTCGGG